ATCGACCAAGGAACAAGCCTATAATGTTTAAAAGTCGATAGAATTAGGAGCTCCAAGATATATGGGTTCAAAGAAAAAAGAAAGTTCAAAAACGCAAAAAAATATCAATTTAGCTTTTTTTTTCCAAAAAATTATATCTCTTTTGGTTATAGACCGATTTGAAAAATCCTTGAAAATTCTAAAAGGGCATACTTGAAATAGTAATAAAAAAATTTGACGATCCGATATTTTAATTTTTTAACAAAACTGCAAGCAGTTCCGGGAATCCCACGCTCAACTTCAACTGTTCACTACTCGGTTGTTGAGCGACAATTGCCACACGTCAACACGTCTTCCTACTGAGGAGATCCCAAACTTTTTTCACGTCAATATCCCAAACCTCTCTTCTTTCAATTTTAGAAATGCCAAACCGAGAAAGTTTTGCTGGGGTCCCAGGGACCCCAATGTATATATCTAGGATTAAGTAAACTTTAATATCAAATTAGCGACTTGAAAATCCTTAAGTTGAATAGTATAATTCAAAAATATTTAATGAATCCTTTTTTTAATGGAATAAGTCACAATTCGCCGCAATAATCGAATCCTATATTAATAACACAAATATTTTTTAATCATAATCAACACAATAAATTCCTTTTAAGGATTAAAAATCTTAATATATTTAATTTTAATTGCAATAAAATGTATCATATTATAGTTATAATATATTATAGTCAATAATATACTAAAATAGCCTTTTTTGCAATTTTAATCACAAATTTCTTCACATTGTGATATGATAAAGCGAATTGATAATCGGAATCGTAATTAGCGCTTAAAAACTACGAGAAATGATTATCTTCGTTCTTGTAAATTTTTTAAATTATAATTTTGAACGACGATACTGCAGTAAAAGAAATAATTTTAGCCACAAAAACAATTATAAAAACATTTTAGTATAAAATGAATATCGATATCCAACATCTTAATTAGATTTTTATAAAAATCTCGTGGGAAGATTCTGATAATTTTGATAATGCGAAGTGAAAATATTTCTCAAAAGTATTATGACTCTTAGCTGTAACGCGAAATAAAAATCATTTATCTGCAAAATAATAATCATGAGTCGATTCTTGAAACCATAGAATAAGGGTCAAGCAAGTAATTTAAATATTCTATGCCTACTTGTAAATTAGAGGAGATTAAAATAAATTTTTCACCCTTTTATCGCAATAATATATTTTTAGAAAACTACAACAAATTAATATAGCTAAAATATATTCAACAGGGAATAAATAAATATGATAGTTTCGGTTAACGGGCGAATTGTTGGCCTAATATTAATTTGCTATTTATAAACCTTCGATTTATACTTGAAACCACGCACTGATTATTATCTAAATTTACACTATGGTTTTTTAAAATTGAAGATATCACTTGTAAATGTACATAATTGGAGAAAAAGAGTAAAGAGCCACAATGCTTTTTGTCGTTCTTTATTCAGTATGTCAATTTTACGATTTCTAGGAGAAACTATATGAACACTTTGTCTAAGTACATGTCATTGTAAACAAAGATTGAATAGGTTCAATATCATAATGTATTACAGTGTACTAATAGTAAATAAGATGACGGATAATCCTAATTCTATCATATATACATTTTCTTATTGTTAGTTGAAAGATCAAATACTAGAAATATTTTGATGATAATTAAATATCATTGAAGCTAATTATTTTTTTACTATTGAGAAAGATAGAGAGATGCAAACATTTTAAGCTAATTATTTTTTTTATTATTGAGAAATATTTATTGAGAAAGATAGAGGGATACAAACATTTGAAGTTATGAATTAGGTCGATTAAAATTTGCTGTACGTTCAAGTGTACACCGCACAACACGAAAATTGATTCTTGCCAATATCGATATAAAAATTACATATAAAATATTATCTGCATACAATACATTTGCGCGAATATCGCTGAAAGTAATTTCACTATTTTTAAACACGTGTTTAATTCTGTATGTCGAAGATTGATAAGAGAGACAACGGCTTTTACCTTTTTATTTCGCATTATGCGTGATATCACACTTGAGCATGTTAAATTTAGGGGACTTGATTCGTTAACTATGAATGCTTATAATTTAAAAACTATAGTATCGAAAATTTCGATATTAGAATTTTCGTCTCAAAACAATCTCAAAAATCTTTAAGGTATTGTAGACTACGGGATATCCTATATATGATCCTATATATATCCGACATAATATTCATAATTTACAAAATAGAAGTTTTCGTGTTCTGACTTCGCATTGTTTTTAGCCGCAAAAACATTTAAACGGTTAAAAATATTTATTAAATCATGTCGAAATTATCGAAATCATACCAGTCTTATTCAATCAGATTTTATAAGATTAATACGATTAACTAGAAGCCATCGCTTTTTTACTCCAAAACATCAACATTATAAAAAGAAAGTTCCTTCTTAGATTGTGTAGATTGCAGATTGTAGACTGTGTCGAGAAATTCAAATAAATTAGCGCAAACGAGATGTGTATACGTTAATATGCAAAAAAGATCGGGGCGATATAGAAAATCTTTCCAGATGTGAAGAGACGCACTTATGATCAACACTTGTATCAGAGGGCGGCATCAAGGCCCGGCCGTGGGTTCACCTTCCGGAGTTTCTTTGATTCTCCTTTCCAGCGATACTTCGGTACCACTTGAAAAATATGATTTGCAGAGTGCTCAAGCATTGTGTATTATAGTTTTTTTTCTTTTTTTTTATTTACCTTAATAACGTGCAATATGTTGTTTTCGCGTCTCTTCTCTTCTTTTGAAAAGATTCAAGTGCCGCCAAGAACGCGGCGCGGAACGCAATGGGCGAATTCGACTAAAATAATCAATAACTTCGAGTTGCAGCTTGAATTACAGCGCAACACGGCTGTATATATATAAAAATTGTGCTAGTATACTTAATCCATGATCTATAAATATTTTTGATTGAAATGATTTCAAATATGACTATCGAGATGCAACGTATATTCGATTGCTCATATCTTTTTATCTCTTTGAAAATGGAAGAAATTTTGCGAGTTGGGTTTTCTCTGATCTCTAGTATCATATTCAAGTAACCACGCGTTGCAGTTAACCCTGCCTGCATTCTATTGTCAGCGTGTGCTAACAGCTAGCGAATTGTAACTTGGTCGAGAAAGTATATACTCCTGATTAAAAATTCAATGCGTCTTAGCTTACAAGCTAAGTTGAGCGACATATTTAATGCGATACAAGCTAAGCGATTTAATATGATAAATTCTCTCCGAGACTCTTCGCATTATCCTTCCAACTTACACGTCAATATTTTGAATTGGACTAACCACCTTTGCGGAAGCCTCGCTTGTTGGGTTTTGGTTGAAAGGAGCAGAATTGCAATAGAGATTACGATCAAGAGTCAAATAATAAATGTCTCGTTTGATTTTTAGAGAAGAAGAGGCGTGTTTACGATCAATATGGCAAGGACGGTCTTCAAATGCCTGGAGGCAAACGACGCCACGGAGATGATTTTGAATCGCATTTCGGCGGCCCGTTCGTTTTCAGAGATCCTGAGGAAGTATTTAGAGAATTTTTTGGTGGAGTACCGTTCGAAGATTTGTTCGCCGGTAAGACATATCCTTATGCAAATACATTTAGATAAAAAAAAAATAAACTTATTAAGGACAAATTGCAAACTTTAAATCTTGTAGGTTTTCACGGCGGTGGTTCCCGGAGAGGTGCAGGAGGGAGACATGGTCACTCGACTAGTAATAGTCTGAGTACTTCTTTCTTTGGGCCCTTTGGATTCGGCGGCTTTCGTTTCCCGTTTAATGATTTAATGGAGAATGCCAGTACTGCAGGAAACTTCACCTCTTTCGGTACTTTTACTAGTTTCGACGGAACGAGCGGTGGCAGTGCTGTGAAACGTACCAGCACTTCGACTCGTTTCATCGATGGAAAGAAAATTACGACCAAAAAGTAAAAAGAATTTTATATCTGATACAACATTTAGCTTTAAGAAGATTCGGCAATGTTACAACGTTTCTGATTGTACCCTTTTCTTTCTCATGTCTGTTTTACAGAGTCTACGAAAATGGAAAAGAAACGATAATGTCTTATGAAAATGATGTACTGAAATCGAAGACAGTGAACGGAGTACCACAATCAATAACGTACAGTTAAAAATACATCTCATTCGCACGATCTCTCCTTGGCAATTGAGAAATTCCTGTCATCACGATTTGAACATCTGTAAACGAGTACCTGGTATCCGCGTTGGTATCTCTCGACACAGTTCCTCCTCCCCTCGCAGAGTCGTTTTCCATCGTTTCCATCGTTTTTCCATCGGGAACGTAACATCAGTCGACACGCGCGTTATTCGCCGAAATTGACAATCGATGATAGTGAGATAGGCTCTCTTAGCCCGAGTGATCGGAGCGTTAATAATTGGAATTTACATAAAAACAAGAGCGAATTCCCTCTTATACGAGCTTCATTTTTCCGTCATCTCGTTTGTTTGTGTGTGTGTCAGGTTCGACGAAGCATCGACGAGTCGTCAAGTCTGTGAGAACGTCAACGATAACACGATGGGTAACCACAGCTCGAACGCGACCTGCGGCGACTATCTAAAAGCTAGCAGAATAAAGACGCGTCATCATCCGCACATGAATAAGAAGCACGATAGAAGTAAGAGGAAATAAATTGCTTCGCTCTTGTCTCAAGTTCCTTGTGTATCCAAGTCGACGAATGTGCGCTCCTGATATACTCGACAGATTTGATTGCGGGTAAATTTTTGTCTTGTTGATATACTACGCTATTCTATTCTATTATTCTGGCAAAACTTCATAAATTGATAAACAATTAAAATGTCGATAATCTGTGTACGAATTAAGAGGGAGAGTAATATCCTATAAATGATTACAACACGACTGGCTTGACATATCCACGCGGTTCATATAATAAAGAAGTATTTCAAAAAAATATAATTTGGTTTTTGGTTTTGAAAGCAAAGCGGCCTGCTATCCGTCATCGTCATTGAGTTGTTTAGCTGTGTAAAAATGAGGTATTTGAATTTAGTTAGATACTCACGATCGCTTATGCCGTGAATCAAGATTAATTTACAAGTAACATCTGCTCTTGTCTCTAGTTGTATAATGTAACTGATGCCGTTTGCTAACTTGAGAGCCTCGATTATCGCTAGGTTACAGAACTGACGCAAAATCTTACAGTTTCTCAAAATGAGAAATACCTTATATGCATCTCATATCGATTAATAGTATAATTTATTTTCGTCGCTGCGTATTTGTATTGTTGGCTCTAGCGTTATGTACCGATTTAAGTTTTTAGCTAAATACGCGCTGATGTACACCGTTGAGAACTGTGTTAGAAGGACCGTTTTTGATCGTATTTCCTTCGATTAGCTATTTACATATGTGTATATAATGATAAGAAAAAATATAGAAATACATTATTAATATACACTAATTAACCTGTGTAAGGTGTGAAACTTCAGTATGGGACTAGCGCAAACGGCAGAGATCAAATTACTATTCAAAAGGAGGAAATTAATTACAACAGAGATATATGCGACAAGTAGTTTTATGCTAATTGCAATAAATCATTGGATACAAAATTTACATAAATGAATAGAACAAAAAAGGGTGCATGGATCGTGTAAACTGCTAAATAGAAAGTCGATATCGTATCTATACACAGTACATGACCATTCGCACAATGCGTTCGTAATATTCTGAATGCTTTCCATCGATAGTGAAAAAGTTTTGTAAGTGATCGAGTGAAATCATACGTGAATACTTATGTGTACGTGTGTACATGTGATAATGGATAACTACTTCTTTCCGATCGAAGCGATTAATGCTTCCACTTTAGCAATGTATTGCTCTTTAGCCGTTTCTTGTCCCATACTTTTTTTACCGTTCCAAGCGTCCCATTTCGCTTTTCCTTTGAAATCCAACATACCCGGTCTCTCTAAAAAAGGTTTACAAGAATCACTGCAATTGTATATATATATAAATGTGCGTAACAAATAATGGACTACACACATTTTGTGAAAACATACCTGTATTACAATCACCGATGGTGGATTGCTTGTACAATGCGTACAATTCAAGTAAATCTTCGTCTTCTGGCTGTGCAACCAATTCCTTTACCCCTATGGCTGCATCATTAAATCTCTGAGAATAAAAATATGTTTTTACGATCATTTGATAAGGAAGGGTTTTTCATGTTATTTGATAAATTGTTAAATTGAATAGAAATCATAAGTGATTTGGATGATTTAATTTATCGGAACAGAGTAGCGTGTACCAATGATATCATTTAAGTTATTCCAAGTAAAATATTAGTTTTTATTTTTTTATCTGTATCATAATTAGGATTATCATTATTTAATTAATACCGTTTTAAAGTCAAGAGAAAAGAAATAAATTTATATCTAATTAATAATTAACGATATAACTGTAAATCAATTAAACTATCAATGAAACTCGCGCTTGAAGCCATATCGCAGCGTATATGTATTAAAGCTATAAATGTGATCTCAATCTGCTAATATCTGAATTTTTTTTAATTCACTGAATTATCCTTTCAAATCAATCAAGTTTTTTTTATATGTTTGGATATGTCCGAATGATTCAAATCTTAATATACAAAGAGTTAGATCTCATACAATTGTAAGAAATAGAATAGAAAAGATCAATTATACTAAGTTGGTTACAATTTATTTGGTTATTCCTCTGCTGAAAGTATTCTTTACATTTTCTTTGGAAAATCGTGATAAAAAAAAGACTCGTTCAAGTTGTAAACCAGTTGATTTCTTTATCAAAAAAATGTTTAATTTTTTCAACTTTAGAAATCGACAGTAAGAGTTTATGTGAGTATACATTATTCAGTAAATATGTGTGTATATATATATTTTTTTTTTTTCATGATTATAAAGTTATATGATTATAAAATATAAAATAATCTTTTTATGTATTTCAATAAATTAATCATACTGTATTTTGCGATCGATTGGTTTTCTGCTCAATTGTATTTTGAATTCAAGTACACAAATTTGACTCTTCCGATATTAATTTGTTAAGATAAACGGATTATTACAATAAACATGTGAATTTAAGTAATCAAATAATTTTAAATAATTAATTTGGATCTAAATATTTATAGTTTTAGATTACATATGAATGTGGCTGATTTAACTTAATCTTATTTTATATTAACCCTAAGTATACACACTGTTTTTTTGACGATATCGTATATACACTGGGGTCCCGGGGACCTCATCCATATTTATTACTGTAACTCTAGTAAAAATGGACATATTTCAATTTTTTTTTTAATCGATAGAGAATCGACCAAGAAACAAGCCCATAATATTTAAAAGTCGATAGAATTAAGGAGCTCCAAGATATACGGGTTTAAAGAAAAAAAAAAAGTTCAAAAATGCAAAAAAATTTAGCATCGATTTAGCATCTTTTTTCAAAAAATTATATCTTTTTTGTTTATAAGCCGATTTGAAAAATCCTTGAAAATTCTGAAAGGGCATACTTGAAATAGTAACAAAAAAATTTGGCGATCCGATATTTTAATTTTTTAACAAAACTGCAAGCAGTCCCGGGGACCTCACACTCACAACTGTTCACTGCTTGGTTGTGAGCGACAATTGCCGTGCGTCAATACGTCTTCCTTAGGAGTCCCAAACTTTTTTTACGTCAATATCCCAAACCCCTCCTCTTCCAATTTCAGAAATGCCAAATCGAGAAAGTTTCGCTGGGGTTCCGGGGACCTCAGTGTGTATATCTTAAGTAGATTTAAATTTAAAAAAAACCTAACCTATTCTTACGCAAAGCTTTATATGTATCGATAAAGATATAAATTTAATTTATTAATTTTTTTCCTCATTTTATCGACTGATCATTATAGTTTTTAATTTTTTTAAGATTAATAAGTTAAAAATATGTATATATAATGTCACATTATAAGCTGTCTTATGTCTTCTTTTTTTAAAATAATTTTGGAAACAGCGATTAGTCCGACATGAAATCGATTACATGCTTTTAAGAAAACAATTGGAACATCACTAATACGCTAATCTCACTGATTAAACTAATTGCTAACTTCACTCGTAATTAATACGCCGAAAAGGAGAATGCTGATTCTGGTATGACACTGTATGACACGTTTCATTTTCATGTGCACGTTATTCGAGTTGCAATAATTCTGTCAAAACAAAGTTTGCTTGTTGTCCTTACTTCGTCCAGCGACATAATGGAAAATATTAGTTTGGAGTTTTCGATTCAAAATTATGACAATCGTAATGTTGAGAAAGAATCTTATATGAGAGGTTACGGCACTCGTGTTAACGGATGTCGCGATAAATGACGACTACATACGTGGCGGTACTGGGCTGCATTGCTGGGCATACGTGGTTCTCCAGTCCAGCTAAAGCAATGATTAATTTTTAATCGTGGACATTATTGACCTTTGGTATAACTTAAATTACATCGATAAATGGGTCAATGTTCTGTGCTGGCTCATAACGATACAGAATTACAGATATTTAAGTATATCCTAATTATTGATTAATATTTAACATATAATGAATTATAAATTTTATACTAAACTTAAAAAATTTATACTATAAAATAACATATTGTTATAGTATATTTTTTTATATTATATTAAAATATTATTATTTTATATCAATATTATTTTTTATGTACTTTCGTTTTACATCAATATATATATTACCTTTTTATTCGAAATTTACATTGATCAAATTATAGTTATATTCAAAAGTGTTGTACGTAATGAAAAGTTACAAATGATATTCCTAAATACAGCAAGCCGGGAAAAGAATTTATCTATAAAAAAAAACTGTTTTTATGTCTTCAATTTTTATATTTAAAAATTATTGAATAATGACTTATAATTATTTTGATTCAAATAGGCGATATAAATAAAAAATTGTCCACTCTTTATATCTTTTAAGATTAAGAAATATCATCAATTGAAAACAACTACTGGAAAAAAAGATTTCTTTGTCACTTAATTATTTGTTTCAAATACAAAAGAATGTTTAGATGAAGATGTTTAGATAAGAATTAATATTAATAATAACTCTTTAATAAAAATGGTTACAATCCCCTATTATTATATTCTATTGATCTACACGTAATCTATGACATCCTCAATCCTTGCATAAAAAACTGCGTATATGTATGTGTATAAATGTATATAATATATATACAGGGTGTCTCAATGGTAAAGCGCTCGTGGATAGGTAGAGTAATATGAAGATATAAAAACAATTTTTTTTATAGATAAATTTATTTCGCGGCTTGATATATTTAGGAATATCATTTGTAACTTTTTATTACGTAACACTTTTGAATATAACTATATTATAAAGAAGTATCGTATATATTATTACAGCTTTCCTAAACCTGCATTGATCATTTTATTTTAGTCATTTTATGCCTGTTTTATGAAACTTAAAATTATTTGGAATGACAATGGCATTAAACCTTTGTTGCAATGGTAAAGCGCTCGGGAAAGTAGAGTGGGCTAAATTGAATCAAAAAGTCCTCTACTATACCATTTTACGATTTTCGCAATAGTTATCGAGATACTAATCATTTTTTTTTAATTTACGTCAAGTATATAAAGAAGTATCGTATATATTATTACATCTTTCCTAAACCAAAAATATTATTTTAACAAATATAAGTTGACCAAAAACAAATATAAGATCATACAAGTTGCCAAGTATTTGATTAGACAAAGAGACAAAAATATTTTATTTCAAACCAAAAATATTTTTTTAATAAACCGTTTAAATCATTTAAAAGTATATGCAGCAAAAGTTTAATGCCATTGTCTTTTCAAATAATTTTAAGTTTCATAAAACAGGCTTAAAGTGACTAAAATGATCAATGGTTTAGGAAAGATGTAATTAGAGAGCCTTTAATCAGAGTGGCGCCATACGGCTGCCACTTTTGATTGGTGGATAATTTTATGTTGGATAGACTGAGATAGACTGTTGGATAAACTGAGTGAGACATATTCTCTTTCTCTTTCGCACTCTTATTTCTCTCGCGGGATTTGGAAAAAAAATGGCGTCACTTCTCTTAATTATGGCACCACTCTGATTAGAGGCTCTTTAGATGTAATGTACAATACTTTTTTATATGTTTGGCACAAATTTTTTTTAATGATTAATATTTCGATAACTGTTGCAAAGATCGTAGAGGACTTTTCAATTCAGTTTATCCCACTCTATACCTGCCCTCTACGAGCGCTTTAGTCCCGAAACACAATTATAGATGTACCAAGCCTTAAGGGGATCCTAAACCCGAGATCAAACTCCAAAAATTCGCTGTTTTATCGACGATTTGTGAGTATGTATGCGTGCGATATTGATGTAGTAGTGTGTAGTGATGTGTTCATATTTACTACCATATCGATATCTCACGCACACATCGTAACAAATTTTCAAGAACGTACAGCTTTTTTATTAGGCATCCAAGCCTAATTTTATGAACTCACCATTGTTTGCACATGTAATTCGTAGTTCCGGCTGGTATCATTTTGTACCAACAAACTGCCAAATTGTTGTACGAAGCAAATATTGGCACATGTGACAGCTCTAGACGCCATGTTGGACTAAGAAGAGGTAACGGAGATGTAAATTTCATAAATTTTTTGCGTTCTCAGCATAACCTCTACCAGCC